ATGCTGATGTCTCCCTTTATGTACTCGACCATAGTGTTCAAAAACATTCCCATAACCGCTGGTGGGTAACCACTCCATTCATGCGCACTAGACCTTATTTCGACGCTGGTTAGTTCTGTTCTGTTCAGGATTCCGTTAGCTCGGCGCTTGTAGGATCTTTGTGGATACGCTTCCACGATTGGTCTAAGCTGCTTCGCGAACGCTCCAACATTCCGACGTCTTGAATCTAGTAGTCTCTCATTACTGTTTCGCCATGGTACACTCGCTGTGAATTTTGAACCTCCAGGCACTATGTTCGTACAGACTATGGTCAGTCGCATCCGTTCGCCCTCTGACGATAACTCCTTATTGGTCCCGACAAGCATAACATTGTGCGTTGCAACTTTTATTCTAGGGTAATGTCCAGCAATCTTTGTAGATGTACGCCGTCGCGGTCGCCGAACTTGACATATCTCTGGTGTGCGAAACCTTGAGAAAGTATGAAGTTCTTTTCCTTTTTTCTATCTTTATATCGCTTCACAAATGTGTTGCTGCGAAACGTACTCTTACAGATTTAACAAATTTATTTGTCACTAGCTGGCATACCCGGCTCCGCCCGGTTCTGTCAAAACGATAAAGGTTCCATTCCTAACCCTGTGCAACCTTTCCCTGTGCCCACTTTTGCTTGAAATTCCCTATTCCCGCTGTGTTAGTAATCAGTATGCTCACCTACCTTCCTCACCAACCTCTAGCCCCGTAACTCAAGCTTAATCGATAAAATCGATAAAAGTAGCGGATGATTCCAAAAACTGATATGGTATTCGCAACTCCCCTGTGCCAACTCCCAGCTCCGTAAGTCAAACTTTGTAAAAAAATCGATAAAATCGATAAAAGTAGTAAATAATCCTAGAAACCGATGTCATATTCGTAATCGGCATGCTCGATTACCCCCCCCCCCCCTGTGCAAACTCCTAGCCCCGCATGTCAAACTTTACAAAAAAATCGATAAAATCGATAAAAGTAGCGGATGATTCCAAAAACTGATATGGTATTCGTAACTCCCCTGGGCCAACTCCCAGCTCCGTAAGTCAAACTTTGCAAAAAAATCGATAAAATCGATAAAAGTAGTAAATAATCCTAGAAACTGATATCATATTCGTAATCGGCATGCTCGATTACCCCCTCCCCTGTGCAAACTCCTAGCCCCGCATGTCAAACTTTACAAAAAAATCGATAAAAATGGATAAAATCGATATCAATCGATGACGAAAAGTAGCCTATGACACCCGCCGGGGCCCGAAGTGTATGTGTGCCAAGTTTGGTCCGGATCGGTTCAGAAATGGAATTTTCTATTCGGAATATACGTACAGACATATAGACAGACAGACATACAGACAGACAGACAAACAGGCATTCAGCTTTATATATAAGAAGATTCGTCAAGCCGCTGTTCCCGGCTTATCCATAAGGAGGGCGCTGCTATCATGTCTCATAAAGTGTGTTATGCGAACAGTGTCTCATGAAAAAGCATAAGCTTTTTTGACTCATCATGTCGTGATAAACGTGTACTTTATGTCCTCCATGAGAAACTCGCTTGTCGGGTAAAACCGCTATGACTGGGTCGCATCCGGGATTACATTCTCAAATACACTTCTGCTATATTTTACATGGGGTCGTTATCTGCTTTAATTCGGCTCTTGCGACTGCGAAAGAAACTGAGCGCTGAGTTGTCGGAGTAGGGCTCCTTCATACTACGCCGCGCACGCCACGTACGCCGCGTACCCCACGTACGCCGCGCACGCAGCGTACTCCGCGTACGCCGCTGCAGCGCAAACGAAATATGGAAATATGAAGAAGAGAAATCCTTTTCATCCAGTGATGTGTTTGTAAGATGTTAACAGCGCAAATATACACCAGATACAACATACAACCATATACTACCAATATACAAACAGACGACGCAATGAAAAATCCGTTACGATACAAAGTGTGAAACTCAAAAGTAGAGGGAGAACAACAACGCAAGTCATTCCATCAATCATTGATATAGACAAAGGATAGTCAGGATAAACAAGGTAAAAGAGAAGAAGAAATGCATAATGTGAAGGAACACTATTGAGGGACACGAATGTGCCACAAATATAGAGACACATCAAAAAAGTGGAGCTCCATTGCGCTACAGCGGCGTACGCGGCGTAGAATGAAGAAACCCTATGCTGACGAGGCCCTGCAACAAGAGACGTTAGCATTAGCAGCGGCTATCTTTCTTCTACTGCGTCTCTTTGTTTTTGTTTGTAATGTTGGTCACCTGTCTCTTTAAGTACCTTGATTAGCATGTCATATTGAATTCTAATAGGTTTATCACTGCTATTCAGCCGCAACACCAGCGCTGAATTGTCACTAATCTCTAATACTTCAACAAGCCCCACTCCATTTACAGCAAAATTTGGGTTACGTCCCGACGCCTTTTTCTCGTGGAAGTTCTATGAAAACTCGAACCCCTACAGCTGAATAATCCTTTCGTCCAACACTGAATCCAGTCTTCCTTCATTTTGGCCCCCGTTTAAGAATTGTGCTCTTTTACAGATTTTTGAATCATCTCTTAGGCTTGATAGAAGTTTATGTTTGTAATCATCTAAGCAGGAAACGATACTTGGTGTCCCCGGCCAATCGTAATGGTTTTCATATCAAAAAATGCGCCTTTTAATGCTGGTTCGAATACTGTTTTCCATATCTGCGAAACGAAAACCTTGATGGAGTTATAATTATTTTTTTCAAAATGTATTGCGCAGGGTAAAAATCATTAATAAAAATTTTGCTTTTCTCTTCAAGTGCTAAATATGATTTGGATAGGTATAAATACAACGTTAGACCTTTCAAGATTCTCCTCAGTAGCTTCAAACGGTAAAATAGATCAAACTGGGTGATTTTAACTACCTAAAAGTATGCAAATTTTTTACGAAAAAAAGTTCATAACTGCCTTCAAATGATCGTTTCGCAGATTTCAAGCACAAATTTAGAATCAGCGTTTCGAGATGCACCTTATGGTTTACATCGCATTTCAAACGGCCGGGGTCACCAAGTATCCTTTCCTAAATCTATCTGATTGAACAATAGTTTTTCCCGAGAGATCACCTTGATGGAAACTCAGGGTCAAATACGTGCAATATTTAGGACGATTTTCACCCGTTGCGGGGTGATAAGTTGTATGCAAAATCTACCATAGGTGATAAACTTTGCCATGGCAGGTACCACTGTCTTCTTCTTCAGCATCCTAATCAGTGTACCAATTGCTCTTTCTGTAATACCATCGCCTGGATAGAAAACATTAGTGGCATGCTAGGATTGTAGAATCAAGAGCAAAAGTCAAAAATATGCGGGATAGGGTTTGCTAAATACATGGAAATTTAAAGGGGTTTTTAAAATATTGTTATCAGCTTCTCAGATGGGCGTGTCGTCTCGACGTACAGACAATGTACGGTGGTTTCAATGATATCAAATGCTAGAAAGATTATGCCAAAAGGAATGAAGGTACTACTAGTAAAATATTACAGCAAACCGTAGATCCCCTTGTGTCTTTTTATTTTATCTCCTTAAAACACTCAAAATGTCAAAATCTCTCTTTAGCTGCCATCTTCATTCTTAACATTTGAAAGATAGGACGTGCTTGCAATGACTTTTTCAACTCGCATAGCTAAAATCCGTAGGCCCATCTTTCCTAAAGTGCCAATGTCATTAAATACTTTACTTCACGTTGTAGATAACATAATGCTAGCTTTCCTATTCATTAGTCAGGGTCATCCTAATAATGCTGAGAAAAAATCCTCTAACTTGCATCAAGGGCTTCAACACGACCTTTGCTCAAAGTTCAACGCTTTTGTTTTGTTTTTGACTGCTGCTCTTCGCGATCGCTGGAAACAAACGAGATTTTTCCGTTGATCGGCTCATGTGCTAGTCTCCGTGATGTGATTTGCATAAGTTGCGCATTTGAACCGGAACTCAGCGGCATCGTAGCGTGTGGCTTTCACACACTGCCGACACATTGCTCTAGTACATACAGCTCTATACATACCCTGACAACGAACCCCCCTCTCCCCACACGGATCCATTCTGCAAACAAAAATCCACTAGACAGAGTGGATTTGGCATCCGAGCCGCGGATACGCGTTTCGAGTGGATGTAGTCGTCATGGATGGCGTCGCAGCCCGAAAATGTTGCCTTCTATCAGCTCGGCATCCACGAGATGTGTTGGACGCTATCTGTTCCTGTTTGCTCTTTGATAACAATCCCCTTTCCAATAATTTCCACATCAACACTACGCATTGTGTATGCCAATTTAAAGACTCTTACGCCTGTTTTTTGTGCGATCTTGTGCTCAAAAAAATTCGTGCCCGGTGATGAAAGTACAAAATTTTGTCTGTACGATTTTTGGGCAGGCGCATTGCAGAAAGCAAGCCGCCAATCCCCTCAAGAATGTAACAAGGTTAAAGGAGCAGTCTGATACACTGTATCACCGTAAATGCACTCTCGCAAGCATTAAACCCTCCTTCATGTTTTTAGTAGAGAATTACGTAGTTCTTATGAGCTATATATTTATTTTTTTCCAAAAATATTATGCTAGAATAATAACATCCCCCTCCCAGCCCCTCCTGAAACAAATACTGCCAAGGAATTTGTGCTAAAGCAGTGACGTATGACATGTTGCCGTGCAAAAAACGGCATGACATGCCCGATAGTAGTAACGGGGTGGAGACGGTCATAAATTCCAGAACTATTACTTGTTCTAGGCTTTATAGATAGTGCTGAAAAGAAGATTATACTGCTTTTTGCAGCTGCATTGTTTTTTAGCATAAGAAAAACTTGTACTCATCAAGGATTAAGGACTTGAATCATTGTATCAACGTACTAGTTCCTATGCAAGAAAAAATTTTATCGACTGTTAGCTGCGTTTTTCTTCACTATTCTTCTTCAATTTTTATCCTATCCATGTGGCTTACTTAAAAATGAAGTATTTTTTCAGCATGGCGCACACCAGTACAAGCGAATTCACCTGTGAGCTGATAATTTCTATATTTGACAAGTAGCCATGATATTATGAAAAATGCTTAGCCGGCAGTAGCGTGAATGTCGAAGAAATCCGGGAAGTCCGCGAAAGGGAGAAGAGGGAGATGCAAGGACTGAACGATCGACTGGCAGATTATATCGCGCAGGTCAACACAGCCCTTCAGATTATAGATCAGGATATTGTAGAAGCTTCTTCTAGGTTCGTTTTCTGGAAGCACAAAATCGAAAACTCAGTCATGAGCTGGAGAGGTTGAAGAAGGCTATGCACGCCCCCGGAATTCGCATGATGTACGAAAAAGAGATAGCGGTCAGTTGCATACAAATCTTTAACGTCCTACCATCATCCGGTTTTTCAAATCTTTTTTTAAAGCAAATGCAAGCGATCGATGCTAAGAGAGATTATGGTAACACAGAAGAAGATGTTCGAGGCCTTACTGCAGATCTGACTCGTATCAGAAACAGGAATGGACTTTGAGGCCTAAATTCTCGTTGAGAAGTTTCGGAGTAAGAGACACATGGCGCATCATCGAGATTATAGCCGAAGAAAGTTGTCAAACACTTTTCCCTTTGCACCTCGATTTGTTAGCCAATTACTAAAAACGCTGCTAACAAGGGAGAGTTCCCAAGTCAGCTTGGCCAACCCGGATGAGTCATATATCGCCGTAACGGGCTTGAAACGCTGTTTACAAATCTGCTTTCCTTTTCTGCGGAACAACTCCCTCAGAGAGTTATGAGCGTTTAGATGTCTAAATTTGCCATGTTTGAAGTGGCTTAAAATCAGTTCAAAGCTGTAAAAAAACACCTAACAGAATATCACTATCTCTGTTCCGTCATTGTAATCAATATACTTGATACAAAACCGATAAATCACTTGTGTTATTGTACAGGTTTCGCCAACTTTAAGCCACTTAAAACATGACAAATTTAGACTTTTAAACGCTCATAACTTCTCTCGGAGGGCTGTTCCGCAGAAGGTGAAGGCAGATTTGGAATCAGCGTTTTAAAGGCAGTGTCCCGGCAGATTTGGGTCCTGGGGGATATACGTGTGATGGGGTTCCTGGTCACCCCGTCGACCTCCAGGCGCACTCCGGCTGGGTGATGTTCCCCCTGAGCCGAGAAAATGGCCCTTGAACCGGCGCGCGCAACCCCAACTGGCGCGCGCTTGGACGGCCTTCCCCGCCTGTTCGGCGCGGGACCCCACGAGCGCTCTCCCCCATGACATGCTATCCAAAGCAAGAATTACAGGCGGCAGGATCTTCGTCTGAGGACCTCCCTCAACTTTCCATTAAAAATCTCGTCCAAGCTGCTTTTCTGGAATTAGGAAAACGCCCCAAAATTGGCCTTTTCAGCCCGTTCAAAGCTCAAATTCGGATTCTACGTGGCGAAAAGGCCTAAAACATGCAAAAAGGTGGAGGTGCAAAATCTGCCGGGACACTGCCTTTAAGCCCGTTATGGCGATATATGACTTACCCGGGTTGGCCAAGCTGACTTGGAAACTCTTCCTCGTAAGTTTTTGTTTCACTAGGTTCGCATACATCAGGTATCTATCCATTTTACAATTTTTGACATTTCCTAGTGATTTTCGTGCTCGAGTTTCATACAACATCATCATCTTGGGCGAATTACTACCCTATTTTCAGGTGTATAAGCCGCACCCTTTTCACTCTAATGGCGAACACGCCAAAAGACTGACTGTCATCATGGAGCGCGTTAAGTGAGAGCAGTGTGCGATAAGGCGACCGCTTCGCGAGACACATGCGCGGCGGCACGCCTGGGTCTGCTCGCGTTTAGAGCAAAAAGGGTGCGGCTTATACACCTGAAAATAGGGTACCTATTCCGTCTAGTGGGTGAAATCTTCAGTTTGTTGAGAACTTTCCCTCTTGAAATCTTTCGCAGTTGAAAAAGCATAGCTAAACTGTAGATCACGAAAGCATAGCTAATGAGGTAAGACAGGTTAGGTCATGGAGTTCCAACTTCACTAGTTAGCTATGAAATTATAGAGAATTTTTTTAATGAGAAAATCGATTGTGAGATTGTGAGATTGAGATTGAGAATTTTTGTGAGTTTTTCCGGTCGTTGCAATAATGATCGCTGCCTTCTTTTACCTGGAACTGGCTAGTTGGAACGGTTCAAGAATTTGACTACTGCTGTTGGTATTGTACATACACAAGATCTGAGTCCTTGAATTTCACTGTTTCTGTGTCCTGTAAATGTGTCCAGTGTTCTCTGTGCACATTCTGTTACCTCATGTAGTTTTTTGTCAAACAACTAGTCATAGAACTACCAGTTCATTCCCGTCTCCTTCATTCGTTCGTTCGTAGCAATAATTATATTTCTTAAGCCCATTGTTGTTCCCAAGCTATGGTCTAGTTACTAAATTTTGTTGTACGATAGAAGCTATGGTGTCTTCTGAGGAGCATATTCTGTAAAATGGAAACACTCTCATCAGAATTTTTTCTTACCGTTCGGACTGTCAATTTCGATTGTCTTCATCTTATCGCATATCGATAGACGACACGCTTTGTTTTGAGGGTTTCGCGAGTTCGGAAGGAGTGTGAAATACCGTTAACTTACGTGAAGAAAACGCTGCAATCTTTTTTTTTTTGAAGAGCTAGAATTTCAAATTCGGAGGTATCTGCCACGCATGGAATCACTGCATCTTGAAAAGAGAATCCCCAGTTCTCTTCAGTCATTTAGAATGCTTTTCGATTCACTCAGGGTCTGTTGAGTTCAATGAATTGGCAATTCACTCAAAACAAAAGATTCAACTTCAACAGCAGCATGACGAATTGGACAATGGTCATCAGTAAAGGAAAAATTAACAGAAAAAACAATTCCATATGTGAATAAACATTTATTTTCGGAAATAAACATATGCAAAAAAATGATGAGTCAGTAGCTTTCTGATCCATTTAAAATCAAGTACAGTTTCTAGCGATGGGTGGTCTTCATACTGTTGATTCATGAGTTTAGCGAGCCATATCTGAGAATCTTGGTTGATAGGGGACTCCTCCGTGTCCCCATGAACACCGTTCCCGAGCAGTTGCGAGCTGTTCTCAAGGAGAGATTTTCGAATTGTTTAGTCGATTTTGTGTAGCAGGCACTTGAGTAAACATTATTTATTGATTTCATGTAATCATCTTGCCTAGATTCGCCATTACGATGAAAATACCGTGTTCAAGAACTTTGCCCCAACTCTGTAGATAACCTCACCTTACAGTATACGAACTACTTACGAGCTTACAAAATCACGCTCTCAAAAATTTCGTCCGAGAATAGGAAAACTCGTATTCTGGCGAAATTTGATACGAGAATAGTAAGTTTTTGTGAAAACATAATACAGCACGCAATGTTACACGCTGCATTGCTTGCGACAAAAATTACAAGCATTTCGATTTACTCTCTGTTTTTTAAAGCACTATACAGGATGTTCCAAAAAATGTGCCTACTATTTGATTGTCAATGACTCTCCTGTCATAAATTCTTTCGAGAAGCTTTGAGTACAATTTTGTAGGCCACCTTCAAATTATTACGGTGGAGCGGATTACCGACGGGTCTCCATTATTGTAGGATTACGGTAGGGACTTTGTAGAGGGCTTTGAGCCTTGGAAGACCATATCTTACCTCAAGAAGAAAACAAAATAACCTGAAAACTCTTACACTGAGCTAATTTGAGTTGCTGATTCTGAATGTGAAGTTTGGAAGTTAGTATAGTGCTTCAATCAAAAGTTATGCGAGGTAAGCAGAGCGGCCGTTCTTTCAATGCTCCTAAAGTGTGGTCACCGTTTAGAAAGCTTAAATTTGTACCTAGTTGAGTATGAACTCAGCATCCATGAAAATGTTGTTGCACAGTTCTCACAACTTCTTGAAAATTTTTGAAAAGCCTTTTTCTCACAGTGACACCACATGCTTGAATTTTCTACCGTAATTCTACACTAATGAAGAGAGATCTGTGATTTGCTTTATACTGCAATCTAAGCTAAATCCAGCGCTATAAAACGGTATCTGGAGCTTCTCGGAATACTTCAATACAAGAAAGTTATTATCAACCAAACAGTAGGCACATTTTCTTGGGACACGCCGTATTACAGAATGTTTCACCATGTCAAATCGCGGAGCCCTCACGATTCTCAGCTAGGAAACACCAGGGAAATTTTGGTAGACGGTTATACCTCCCGCAAATTTCATCTGTTCCATTTAAATGTACTGTAAGACGCTACAATGCAAAGCTATTACTATCTTTACAAACAGCTTCTCAGAATCTAGTGTTGACGAGGTTTTAGTGAACCTGGCATTGTATACTTTTGGTGCGACAGTAGCGAGCTGGAATTGTGAAACAGTAAACATAAGCGATGAGTGCACCATACCGACAGTTTCATCCCCTGTCACGATGCCAGGATGAGCCAACTATTTGGGATTCTCAGCATATTTCGCATCACGAAATCACATGTGCTTCTCAAGCTATTCTAGGTTTACGGTATTTGTTCGAGGGGCAATGATTTTTCATCGTGAATTTATCGTAGAGTTGTATAAGGTGAATACTGCATTTATTTCGCGTAGTTGACTCTTGATCAGGGCTCCAGGTGGCTTATACGCAAGCTGAGTATCGTTTTTGGGACAAAACAAAGGGGGGGGGGGGCGTTTTCAAGCCCGAAAAGACATAAAAATTGTGAAGCTTTTTTGGTCGATGTCTCGCTTTTGAGGATTTTTAAGGCCTAGGGTTTAGGGTCAAAAGGAACTTCGTAAAAATTAGCGAAAAGTGGGGGGGGGACTCCGTTTTATTCCCCAATAGGCACCTCATGTCGTGCCCTACCTTGATCACCCGTGACACAGTGATTGCAATGCCATGGCTGAGTCACTGTTTTATATCATAAGACCCATGATACCAGATTTCACTGCATCAATATTTGTATGTTCTAGCTCGAATGCTTTTTTTGGAATGAACATTATAAATGGCTGTATAATAACGCATACAAAACTTTTCACCATTCCCAAATGATCCTTATACAACCGGCAGCATAGCGCTCATCTCCCTTGCGCCTTCATCTGCTAGATATCAGGTTGACACGAAAATTCTGTGCATGCTCAAACCACTTCTTGCTTTTCCAGCTGATTTGCTTTAATTCAAGATTATGGAAAAGTAGATTATGCCCTCTAAGCAATATCTTAGAAGCTGTCTAATGAGTTCTTATTGTATAGGTAGGAGCGGTAGAAAACTACACAAACTTTATTTCTGTGTTGGGTCTTGAGAATTGTGAAGATTGTAAAAAAGCAGTCGGTGTGAGGCTTTATTACCTCTTTCCGACTTAAAACTTGCGATGATTGTTTTCAGGCAAAGTTATGAATCTCACAATCAAATTCCAAGAAATTAAATTTGCCGCTACCGGTTGCTCAGTCATAACTTTTATCAAATCATACATGCGCAAGCTCACCTAGTCAGAAATAGGTGGCAAAAACAGCTTCTTTATCCCAAAGAGAAAAAATAGCACTAAAATGAGTAATTTCTTCCTCCGCTTCTCTCATCAATCGATCGTGTTTGAAAAGTTTCTGGCCTCAGTACCTAAAATGAATGGTGCGTTCCGAAAAGTGCAGCTCACAAAACCTACAAGAAACATGCTCTTAGATTTTTCTGCAGCGTTTCAGATTTTTAATTATTTATTCCCAAAAATTACGAGTTTGAGTGGTTCTGCGATTAGAATGCATACGAATTTTTCTGTGTATTTTTTGTAAGTCAATACGTTCACATAAAGAACAGTACAAATTTTTACCTAATACAATGTTCTCTTTCTGCAGATACGGACTCTCTTCGCGCGAATAAGCATGATTTATGGTTGTGTTCTTTTTTCCATGTTAAGATATCGTTCAGGTTCTTAGCCTTTCACATGCAGGTGTATCCACCATGCAGTAGTTCAGTATGTGAGAATGCTTCATGTGACTACACGATTTATGTCTGAGCAAGCAAATACATTTGCATATTGCTCGTCTAATCTAACACAATGAAAGATAGGCAGGTGCTGGTGGCAGTTATGATGTTGTAGAGCATCACGCATCACTTAGAATCCGGAATCGCCATAGGTGGCGAAGAACTCACGCTGAGTGAGACGAGCACGTTCCTGAGAAAATTCGATTTAGAGAAGATTACCTTGCTCTGTTGAGATTCGCTAATTAAGGTAAAAATAATGTGGTCACTTACCTGGCCATAGTTGTCGTAAAGGTACATGGCTAGATCCTCGCCTGTCGCAAATGTGCTTTCAGCTTCGCAGACGAGTGAACGAGGAGGATCGTTAGGGCCCTTTCCACGGGCAAAGATCTATAGTAAGTTCAGCATTCATTCGGATGCAAATAATGTGCCTACTAGATTTTATTACGCCTAATATAGTCTTCTTGCGTTGTCAACAACATTTGCGCGCGGTGTTTGGCACCGTGCGCTGCATGGATATTTTTTTACGCGCCACTCGCAAGCGATTTACCGACTTATACCCCTAACGCTTACTTACGCGCAATTGTTGTCATCAGTGCAAGTTCACCATATTCATATTACGTAAAATCCACGTGTTTGTTTGTGGAAAAACGTACCTGAACTGTGCTTTGAGGGGCTAAGATGAATCCACGAGGGAATGTGAACGAGACTTGCTTCAGGGAGGAGCTTGTACTGCGGAGCGTCCATTCACCAATGTGCTGGTCAATATCCATGGAAGTGTTCTCGATGGTCACATACGACCCATCCCTGGCCACTCTCTTAAACAATCACGCTTAACTAACAAGGGAACCGTGTCGAGTCGAAGTGGCCTTTCCAGATGAAATCCATACTGCTTTGAAGGGTATTAGGCGGTGATTCCAAATCTGCCTTCCAAATCTGCCAAGCGCCTCTGGACGCCGAGTTATGACCGTTCTTCGGAACGAAAAATGAATGCAGAATTCAGGTAAAATTGATTGTTACAATTTTTCCAGCGCTCAGATAAAACAATGTTAAGTATTAGCATATTAAATAAAATGTATCCATTGCATAAACAGCTCTAATACTTAACACTGGACCATTTGAGCAAATTTGGGTGATTTTGCTTCAGTTTTGCGTTCAATTTTTTTGACCTGAAAAACTAGCATAACTTGGCGTCCAGAGGCGCTTGGCAGATTTGGAAAGCAGATTTGGAATCAGCGATTAATGCTCTTCAAAGCAGTATGGGTCTCATCTGGAAAAGCCACTTCGACTCGACACGGTTTCCTTGTAAGCTTACAAGTAAAATTTATTCTGAACGAAAACCCACCCCGATCGTGACATTTCCCTGGGCTGAACGTTGCATCGCGTAGTCACGGCCTCCAGTTCTGGAACCTCGCTCATCTCTCAAGGTGTAGTCAGCCGTGCTGGTGACAGTTGTGGGCTGAACACGGCTACTATACCCTAAGCCTGTGCTTCCTTCATCCCTGGCTCCGCCACCGAATCCTGCACTTTGAGATGTTCTGGTTGAGGATGTGTATCTGTAGTCACGGGTTTCGGTAGGTCCACCGATGTCCCTTCTTGTTCCGTAAGGCTCGTACATTCCACCCGCGCCGCTGGAGGCGGCTTCTGAGAAAGAAAAAGATTTGTGACTAATTTATTGTTGAATTGCAAATCACGGCATCCAAGGAGAATCTTCCTTGCTTGCAAATCTCCATATAACCTTTGATTCAAGCGACTTGGGATCCGAAAGGCGGGGCTTTGTGACCTAATTAAGGCCGTTCGCGCCCGCGACGAGTCTGCGTCTCTCTCGCGCTCGTGCTCGCTGATCATCATCTAGTCTCAACTAGGTCACGAAGACCCGCCTTCCAGGAGCCAAGCCAGGTGAATCAAAGGGTAGTTGGAGAACGTCATGTCACCGATAGGATCCGACTGTGCGGTTAGGCTAGTGGAGGCGCATGATTTGTAGCAGATGTCCGCACAAACCATAACTTGTCGGAGACACAACGTCTTCTAAAAAAACTTACGAGATGTTCGTCTTCCAGCTATGCTCGAATCCATTCTCTCAAAAACACTTTGTAGAATGTTGGAGATGTCACGATTGTCTCTGGGACCCACACCATCTAGCAGTTCTCTGTATCTCATGATCTCAGCGCGCAATGTCTACAAAACTTACGTTCAAAAGATATTTTCAGAGAGCCTGAAGATTCTTACAGCCACGGAGTATCTCTTATCTCGTGGAGCACCGGAGACGAGCTCATTGTAGCGTTCGATGAGCTTTCGAAGATTATCCTCGTCTTCCTTGACGGTGGAGGCGCTAAGCTTCTGCTCTTGGTCTCTGGCTTCTTCGAAATCGGCAATCAAGCTGGTCAGCAAGCGATTCTGCAGTCAAATTACTTTTTTCATCCTTCGCCTCAAGTTCAAAGGACTAACGCGTTCTTCCAGATGACTGAGCCTTGTGCGGACATCAACCAGTTCATCGCGTAGATCAGCAAGTCTCTTCTGAAATCACTAACTTCTTTTCTCGTTACAGTTTGACATGTGAATCCACCTTGAAAGAAGATGTATCATCGCGTTGCTTGAATTCGATTCCAGACACCTGATCCTTGTACCATTGTTCCATTTCCGATTTAACAGTGCTGGCAAGCTGTAAAAGGACTCATTGCGCAAGAAAAAAATTTGAAGATTTAAGTTTGCTCACTATTTCGTATTGCCTACGAATTTCAACCATGGAGGCCTCCACTTCGGCACGGAAGTGCTTTCTGTCTCGTTCAATGTCCTCAGTCGAGTAGCGCGGCACGGGTACTTTAATCTAACAAAGCTACGCCTTTGAGCCTGTACATATTTCAGATAGATAAAGTCGCGTACTTCTTTGTAGGATTTCAATAGCTCTTCGCATTCCTGAAGCAACGGCCGAGCGCGACGTTCATAGCTATAGCGTTCTTGCGTTTCCTTGTCAAAGATCTATAAAATGAAATTTGTATAGAAATAAATGCTACCGTACTCAGAAGCACTTACCTGTCTCTGCGATGCGATATCGTCCACGATCTTCTGGTTTTCCTTTCGAAGCCTTGCACATTCCTCTTGGATTACTTTTCCGCGTCCTTTGGCCAGACATAGCTGAAAAATTTTACTTGCAAGGTACTAAATTACACTTGTGATGCTGCCTGCTTCATTTTTCAACAAGAACTTCCAGGATAGTCACTGGCTGCTGATTCAAAGGCAGCGTCCATCCAAAAATTCTCATACAATGCTTTTGCCATTCAGGGGTCTTCCGTGGCCCTAGTCACGGTCACGATGTTCAAATTGTCCAAAACCCTAAAAAAAACTCGATTCCTGAGGACCCTGGCTTGAGGGCGCGGACGTTCAGCATATGGGTGGGCGGAGATTGATAGGAACTAGGCGGGGCTTGATAGCTTCGCCTATTCCAGGCCCATTATCTCCATCAGAGACAACATTAGAGAACCGGACCAACGCACATGCCCTCTCCAAGGGGAGGGATTAGATTTAGCGTGGACACTGCCTTTAATATCAAGTACGCCTTGACTATGGAAAAAACTTGTTCAGAAGCATAAAGATCGCAACTTGTTCTCACCTGAGAACGAAGATCGCACAATCTAACGAGAAGTGAGTCCTCGGCGGCCAAATCACGTCCACGCACGGCTGATTCATATCTGAAGTAGTCCTTCAACTCTTTGAAGACAGTGGCTCGGAAAAATTGCAACTGCGCGCTTTCTGTTCCTCCTTAGAGTTCTGGATGCGCTTAGATCAGAGCTTGAAAGGTCAAAAAAGTGCTTTTTTTCGGCGTTGGAGATTGCTGAGAAGGCTGGAGCGGAGTTTCCCGCAGCCGAGTCGCGATTGGCTGCCTGGGCTAATCAGCCAATTGTCGCCCAAATGGCGGTGTTACAGTCTCCTACAGCCAGTCATTGTTTTTGGCGGAAACCCTTGCTTCATTCTCCTCAGCAATCTCCAAGGCTGGAGAAAAAGGCACTTTTTCGACTTTTCAAGCACAGCACTATTCAGCGCCTCCAGAAGGCCATGTAGGTGTGGAAAGCTCGCGATCGCAATTTTCCCGAGCCACTTGCCTTTAAGGACAATAATGTGATGTTTTTTTCCACAAAATTTAACTATTTGAAAGTCCCCAAAAGCGTAAGAGCGCACCTCGATCGCGTACTGTTCAGTTCGTCATTGAGCCTGGGTATTTTCTCTGCATCGGCGTCATATCGTGCCTTCGCCCCTCCCGTTGTAAGCGACTGAAAAGAAGATAATGATATGAAATTTCGATGTGCTAAACTTATGTAGCAACTAATACGCATGACCAAGGTGCAGTGAGTAAAGCTTAGCTCTTCAGTTCAGAAAAAATTCTCTTGGAGTCGTATTGAAGGCAGTGTCTCGGCAGAATTTCGTTTTTCAGTTTATCACCTTCCCAGAGCCTTCTCGCCATAAGGAATTCGCATCTGGGCTTTTCAGCACATGAAAACGGCAAAAATAAACTTTTCCGAAGCTTTTCAGGTACGCTTTCAGTGAAAAACGCCGGAAGTCTTTCGCGCCCCGCCTCCCCCGTTTCGGACCCCGCCCACTTGTTGAAAAGGTTCGATAAAAGCTCATTTTCCTCATTGTCATGCGTTGAAAGGCCAAAATAGGGGTTCCTTATGGCGAAAAAGCTCAAAAAATGTGAAAAACTAAAAAACGAGATCTGCCCTGTTCTCTTTCAGACTTACTTGTTTTTAAAACTGACCTCAGTCATGTCTTCTCTCACTCTCGGCTTTCCAGCTTTCATCCATTGCTCCAGGCGCAATCTGAGCTTGCGTTGAACTGCTTGAAGGAAACGAACCTAAAAATCTTATATGACGCTATCTTTTGAAGCTGTGCAAGCACTAGTATGACTTACCTCAGAGATGTAATCAGCATGTCTGTCATTGAGGACCCCAATTTCTCGATTTTCAGTTATTCGGATTTGGCTGATAGCTGAAAAGGAGCCATTCTTATCGTCAATATATTGCCAAATTATGGGACCAGTTTGCTAGTTATCTGCAGATCTCAGGATATCTCTATTTCGCAGCTATCGTCAATACTTCCAGAATAAGCGGATATTTCCCGAAACATCCAAGAAAGTTACGCTAAAACGTACATTCCCTTTCTGCACGAGACTCTGCTGCACCAGAACCAGAAGAAGCAAGTGGGATCATTCTAAAGATTTCGATTGTTTAAAGATTCTGGGAACTCGTAGGAAATGACGAGTGAGAAAAGCTAAAGGAATTTTATTTGAGAGAGAATCAAAGGAAATGAGGGGTGATGTAGACCTGTTTACAAACAAGTTGATGGGTTGTCTCATAGACCCAAAGGGAACATGAAGGGTGATTAGGAAGGAATACTTCTGCATTTTGCTAGTATTCTATAAGTTCATTGTTTACCAGACTTACTAAAAGCAGATTGAACTCTTACAAGGGAAGCTTGTGTAGTCAATGTGACCTTTTTAAAGCCCATATGCACGTACATCCCAGCTGGAAAGGGGGAGGGGGGATCTGAGAGGGGATATCATATCATATCGTCATATCTCGCTACTCTACGTATTTCTTCTTTCTTTCTTCTTTCTTCTTTCTCTCTCCTGCTTATGAAGTTTTTCATACACATACCTGCGCATAATAAACATCAGGCTGCTTCCATACAAGATTTGTTTTTGTGATCCCCAGGAGATTGCTAAGTGATCCCCAGGGGATCACCTATTCTCAAAGTGATTTATCTTCCTCAGAAGCCAATGAAAACTTTTACTGAGGATATAGTAGGCCACTGCTAAGCATGTTTTCGACAGGAGAAATGAATTCAAAGATTGTGGATTTTCGGTAATTCCTAGCTCGCGAGCAAGGGATTACCGAAGATTTCGATAACCTGTGATTCCACTTATTTCTACTATAAACATCTTTAGCAGTGACGCAGTATATCCACAGTACAATTTTACAGCACTTTCATTGACTTCTCAGAAAGATAAATGCTTTGATACTGAGATGTGATCGCCGGGAATCACACAAAATGGCAAAAACCAATCTTGTTGGCAATAACCTGGCATCCATTATACGCAGCTATAAGGGTATGAAACCTTTACAGGCAAGATAGAGAAGAAAGAAGAAAGATACCTAGACTAGCGAAATATGACGCATCCCCTCTTAGATTCCCTCCCCCCTCCCCCGCGGGGATGTACGTGTTGCGAGCCTAAGGCCCGTATGCACGTACATCCTCGCTGGGGAGGGGAGAGATCTGAGCGGGGATGCGTCATATCTCGCTACTCTACGTATTTTTCTTCTTCTTTCTCTATCTTGCTTATAAAGTTTTTCATACACTTATACTTGCGCATAATGGATGCCAGATCACTTCCATACAAGATAGGTGTTTTGCCATTTTGTGTGACCCACGGGATCCCCTGGGGAGGATCACCTCCCATTTTCAAAGTGATTTATATTCCTGTGAAATCAATGAGAAAGCTGTAAAATCGTACTGAGGATATACTACGGCACTGCTAGGCATATTTTCGACAGAAGAAATGGAATCTAAAGATTGTGGATTTTCGACGATTCCTAGCTCGCGAGCTAGGGATTACCGAAGATTTCGATATCCTGAAATTCAATTTATATTCACTATAACCATCTTCAGCAGCACCGTAGCATATCCACAGTACAATTTTACAGCATTTCATTGAGTCTTCAGGGAGATAAACAGCATTGAAATTGAGAGGTGATTCTCCCGGGGATCACACAAAATAGTGAAAATCTTATCAATCACGCTAGTAACCTGGCATCCATTACACGCAGGTATGAGGGTATGAGAACCTGCATAAGCAAGATAGAAAAGGTAAAAGAAAGAAAGTAGAGTAACGAGATTTGACGCATCCCCTCTCAGATCCCCTTCCCTCCTCAGCGGGGATGTACGTGCATACAGGCCTAAATGAGATGTTAATAATGAAGGGCATAAAACGCTGATTCCAAGCCTGCCTTCCTTATCTGCAACATTTATGGAGGAGGAGTTATGAGCGTTTTTTTGGAGCCAAAAGTTGAATGTGCATTTTGGACAAAGTGATAATCTTACTAGCCCTCAAATAATGCAAAAGTGTGATATATTTTTCATCTTAAAGAATTTTTCGTATAAAGTGCTCTGATGATTTTCACTGTTCCATTGAAGAACTAGAAAGAGTATTAGGCTATTTTTGTCCTACATGCACATTTATGTTTTGCTCCTATAAGAACTAATAACTCCTCGCCCATAAATGTTCTGCAGATATGCAAGGCAGATTCAGAATCAGCATTTCATGCCCTTCAATATGGTATCATCCCGTCTAAAGGCCACATCCTGAACATACTTCCCTTGCCAGTAAACCCTCAAGTCATGCACCTCAGGACTTGCTGTCAACAATAGGGAATTGGTGAAATTACAACAATACATCCAGTCTCGCGCAACTGAAGTCTATCATAGCTGAGTAAAGCAAATCTTGTTAAGACCAGATATAGCCAACATTATCAACAGTAGAATTGAAGGAAGCTGAAGTCTATAAAGTATAGCACTTTTGGATGAGACACGTACTTCACACTATAGCTTGCTTCCTTATCAAAGGAATTTTATTCCAAAGATTTCTAATCGCGGCGAAGACTGTCAGAGGTTTTTTTGCTATACATTCCGGCAAGGCAACAATGACCATATTTGAGAGAAACAGCTAAGCATTTGTACTAGTGAAGTAAATTATGACTTTCCACAAAATGCAAAAGATGTTTTCAAGCAAATATGCAAGATCTGCAAGAATCTGAAAGCAGACGTTGTTAGATTTCAGATTTTACGTAGTGAAGAAATTATTGGATGTTAACAGTCTTTGATATGGGTACTGAAATATACTTTTCTGTGATCGTCTGCATATATTTGGTCGTCTCATGAGTTCTTAAAGTTTTCATAAACTAACAAAATGATGGTTTTGTTAGAATCTGGTCAGTAATCTACATATGTTCTGGTTGTGCACAATCTGCCACCTTGCCGTCATATTTTTAGTGAAGTTTTGCATAAGCTCAGGGAGCCTGGTATTGGGAAAGTCGTCCCAGCGCTTAAGGTCGTTTTCAGAATCGAAGCAGACGCCGTTCCTGTGATTTGCGATATCCCAGAACAATATATTTTCTTGAGCGAGGTCCCAACAGCACAGTAGCTGCTAATACACCTTTCTTTTGTGCAGAAAGATCTGCTGAATTTGCCTACCGGGCTTTTCTGCAGCATAGTTCCATCCAGACGATGAATTGAGCCGCCCAGGGTTGGTCGATATTTCTGTTCTTGTCCCCCAAATTCCAGTGCAGGACTTCCTGCCCGTTCCACTGAAATAACAGAAAGAAGGAGCAGGAAAAGTAATAAAGAATGACTTGTATATCTTATAGTTATGGGAAGTATCTGTAGTCAACTTTTGCCCAAAACCGGTTTTGGGGCTAAGAAGTATACCGGTGGTGTAGTTTTCTTGCTGCCCCTCATCAGTAATTCGCAAGAAAACTTCCACAAGAATAGGGTGAAGGAGGAAAAACAGTTAATATCAGTCCAGACTAAAAATTATGAGCATATGTGGAAGAAAAAATGTTTTAAATATAGAGGAACCAAGAGTCCGTAGAACAGTCTACATTAAAAGTGCATGTTATGTGAACGTAGTCCCGCCTACTGTCCGACCTTATATACGCTGAGTCAAATATGACCTAGTTATTTGGCGCGCTGACTTTGCTTGTATAATAGATCACTTTCGGAGGTAAAAATTACATAAATCAAATGTAGCCGTATATCTATTTAAACTCTTTCAATTATTGCTTCATCCAGAGTTCCCTTATTTCATGTATTAGGTTGCCGGATAATTTCTGTTGCACTTTTTATTAGGTTGTCCGGAAAATAATGTCGCATGGCATCCTACCGCGACAGAATGACCACAAAAAACATCGAATGGGGTATCATTCGGTAGAGCAAAGCAAGCTCTACAACCTAGTTCATGAATCTCCGCGGAAATCTTGCTCCAACTGAAGTTCGAATCCAAAATATAAAAAATTTCAGAAGCCTGTAAAATCGTATCTCCGTTCACAGACGTCTTAGGGATCTCCAATTTGCACAGGCACGTACTCTTCACCTAGACATTCACCTGTATAGTTTATGGTATTTTTCCATGGCTACAGCACGAGAAATAAAAGGAGGTCAAAAGTGCGAATATGTCACGTTTTTCGGTTTTTTTGCAAAAAATTTGATTTTTCTCGAAAACTACCGCTTGTCTAAAGCTGAAAATTCATGGTTATGCTCCTAAAGGTTCATGCTACAGAATCACCCATGTGAGAGAAGCTCAGGATTGCTTTGGCAGAAATATGCCGAATTTGGTTTTCTCAACTTACAGCCATGGAAAAACCGCGAAAATGCGCATACGAGTGTCTTGTATAGTGAGTCCATGCGTGAGCAAGTTAGGGGTTCTCAGGACTTCTCTGAACGGAGATACGGATTTTTTCTTTTTTTTGAATCTTGAGTGCCTTGTGAAAATTGGCTCCAAACTTCACGCAAGTCAAACCTGGCGCGAAGGTTCGAGCTTCATTTTGTAGAGCTTGCTCTGATCTATCGGTTGATACCCCACTCACTTACTTTCGTGCGCACCCTGCTGTGATATTGCATAATAAAACAAAAAGCGACATTATTTTCCGGACAAAGTAATATTTTGATTTTTAAAAATCTCAGAAGCTTTGGAAAGATCTCATGTTCACGGAGTATGGGCAGGGTCAAAAGGCCTATACAATGGTACCGTCGCATCCGCGATTCATGCGAAAAATACCCACTTTGTGGCTGAAAATCAGTTTTCTTCCCACTTTTGTAAATGAGCTGGCGTTCTCTCAGGTGATGAGCGATAGACCGGGCAATGTGGTAATCAGGTAGGGTATAGACTGTAGCGTTTAGCTAATATGGGTGATAACGTAGACATGTCTGCACACGTTTTTCTGAGCGGTTCAAATCTCAGTGTGCGCCATCTTTGCAATCATCGAATTTTTATGAAGAAAACGTCTTCAAAAAATATTAAAAATCATTTTTATGTTTTCTGTATTCATTTCTATACGATGCTCAAAAAAGAATTTAGGAAAGCTTTTGAATTTTTTTGACATTTTTTTCACCCTTCGTTTTTGAAACGCTAGAGGCACGGGAATGCCTCCTTGTGGGAGACAATGCCAAAATACGTTCTAAAAAATTCTGGAAGAGGAAAAGCGCAAGTAGGCGCAGAGAAAAAGATCGGACAAAAACAAAATTTAACTGCTTTTACAAAACTGCCGTAAACTTGTTGGTCATTAGTGCACTTGCGGCATCAGTCATGGGTAGACCCTGTTATGTCCTAAGCGTGTTGCAGATTTGGGGTTTTCAGAAAGCTTCTGAAATTTCCTAGAAAATTTAGAAAAAAGTGTAACAGAAATTATCCGACAACCTAGTATTAGCGGTGAATGTACGGCCACATTAAAACCATATTTACGCAAAATGTAGGGGTTATCTCTTAGGGTATGGCATATGGCTCTAACCAACACTCTTTCTTCCCATCCATTTTTTATACCAAGTTCACAGAGTTGTTCAAGTCTTATTTTGAATGATAAATAATCAGAACAATTTCTATATATTCTAACAGTCTCCGATTTAAAAGTATTAATAACTATGTATCTGGGTATATCCGACTGCCACCTAGGGTATCTCAAAACTTCAAAGTCATATGCGTCTGTTTTATCATATAAACTAGAAAATATATTGTTAAAAGTGTTATTGCTACCCTTATGTTCAAATCCAAAAAATTGGTTTCAGTCATACTTATATTAGTTTTTTCTATGCTAAAATCTGTATGATAAATATCTTGCAGGGGTTGCTCAAATGCATTTGGATCGGTTGATATATGCAATATATCATCAATGTATCGGTATGTGTTGTTGAATGTGTATAAGTTTTTTCCATTATCGTTGGCTATTCTTCTTCTGATATCCGTGAGTTCAAAGTATGTTAGATCTAAAGTTAGATCAAAGTTAGATCTGCAATTAGTGGGCTACACGATGCTCCTTGAGGAATGCCTCTTTCTTGTTTAAATATCACCCCTGCAAAGCTTAAGTAACTGTTATTGAGAAGCGAGTCTATCAAACTATATCCTTTTTTGAAATTTAGTCCCTTTACTGGTGTTTATGTTAGAATACCCACGTGATGATTGTGAATAACAATGTATTTGAATCCTCGCATACAAAGTGTAATAAGTTTATTGAGATCTCTCTGACTACCGAATGCGGTAAACTAGTAAATAGGCCCGAAAAGTCTGCAGAAAAAAGCTCTTTGTTACCATTCGTGGCACTGAGTTCTTTAACTACTTTTATACTGTTATTGATTGCCCAAAAGTGTTTAACTTTGCTTCTATGAAAGATAACGTTGCAGTAATTCATGAAATGTTTTCGTATATGACTGAGTGTACTTGTTAAAACTGTAGTCAAAGGCTTTAGAGTGCTGTTTCTGTCTCCAATTATATACTGTAGTCAAAAGCTTTAGAGTACTGTTTCTGTCTCCAGTTATATACCTAAACTTAGGCCCGTATGCACGTACATCCCCGCTGGGGAGGGGAGGGGAGCTGGATCCCCAGGGGAACGATCCCCTTCGTTGGACCCCGCTATGCCAGAGGGGAGGGGAGCGATCCCCTCCCCTGCACCCGCAGCGGGGATGGTGTCATTGCGGTGCTCACGGCTACCAGAAGATTTCACCAAAAAGCTATTTCTGGTTAATTTTTGTGTACTAGAAGGCTTTTGGAATGAAATGTACAAGAATAGTGATTTCGAGTGCCTTTGTTCCTTTTCGTCGTCTTTTCCTATTTTTTCTTTCACCCCCCCCCCCACTATGTATCTCTGTTCGTTCTCTTCTTTTTTTACCTATTACTGGTTCCAAGGCTTTGTTATACTCGTTACGTACTGTCGCAGTAATAATGTTAATTTCTGAAGTGATGTGGTATTGCAGTTCATGTTATGGTTTCCTAGCAATATGTTATGGCTTATTTCTCCCATAGAAGAATTTATGAGTTCGCAGTTTCGTAGTTTCTATGGTTTTTTCCAACGTTTGCAAGCCACTTCCATACTTTTTCGCTGCAATTCGGCATTTGATTTTAGGGTATCGATCGGGCGAACCCCAGTGGGGATCCCTTCCCTTCCCCTCCCCGTATGCACGAACGTAGCTCATCAACGCAGGGGAGGGGATCGACATCCCCTGCAACGAAGTAGGGGTTCGATGGTGTAGATCATGCCAGAGACGCGGATATTCTGGTTCTGCTCAGTCATTACCAAGCATTTCGTTCATTTTGATGGAGGATTTTCTTTGAAAGCCGGGTTCTTCTCTCAACGACCTGTGGCTTGCAATTTGTCTTTCTTTTCTATATTCGCCTCGCGAGAAGGAATTTGAGCAATAATAGCTGCCAATTTCGATTATTTGTAAGAGTTCTTGATCATTCAGGAAATTTGCGCATTTTTCATATAACATGATAGTTTTAACTATATAGGCTGAGTAAACACATTGTAACTTTCATATTTCATGACACGTTGCCATTATCTTGTTATTTTAACATAAGCTGCCTCGAAAAAATCTAGGAAGTAGCATATTTGCCTATTTTTGAGTAGAGATCCCCTGGGGAGTGATCCCCTCCCCAGCGTTCCCCTTGTGCATAGCAGGGATGGCCGCTGGGGATCATTCCCCTGGGATAAAGGACGATATGCAGCTGGTAGCTACAGCGTTTATGGAGAGCTGGCACAGTTTGCAGCTTCTGTTATGTGTTAAAATACTGCTTTGAGCGTTCGCGCGGCACCCCCCCCCCCTTCGGCAGCATAACGTCTTCTACCCATTCCCTTGCAGGGACACATCAACTTCTATGATTCAACATTTTTACGCTGAAATGGGGCAGCATGAGCGGAAGTGGGCAGCATCCAAGAAGACAGGAACATAATGGGAGTAGAAAAAATCATTTTTGGTGCCCCGAGCGCAGTCACTGCATACGCGCATTCCGCAACCCCAAATTATTGAAAGTGAGGAGATGAAGATGAGTTGCAGTCAAAATATGAAATAAGAAAGAGTTTTTCATAGAAAATTTGAAAGCAAGGTGATTTCCCCGCTTGATCCCCTCTTGTGCATAAGGGGGTTCACTTCCCCTCCCCACAGGGGATCCCTTGTCCGATATTGTCTTTGTGCATACGGGGGTTCGCACGGGGAGGGGAGGGGATCCCCAGCGGGGATCATTTTAATGGTTAAGCGCACATCCCCTCCCCGCGGGGATGTACGTGCATACGGGCCTTAGTAGGACTTTATGCTTCGAGGTACTTCCTTACATTTTGGATTAATCTTAATGTTCAAATCATGAAGAATTCTTTCATGTATTCTTTTAACATCATTCGTAGTCAACCGTGTGTTAACATATGTATTTACTTCGTTATTTTGTCGACTGAGTTCTTTCTACATCATGATCAGGTAAAGCTTCTTACAAGTAAAGCTAAAATTGGAACTTGCTTTGTCTGTTGGTGTCACTATGAAATGTCTGTGTATTCTATCCAGTTCCTCCTTCCGAAAACTTACGTTTTCAATCATATTTTGCTCAAACAGCCCATAGAGTTTAGGTGTGACTTTATTTATTAAATATTCTTGAATTTCACTTCATATAATGTAATTATATCACTGTGTAGTTTGAGAAATTTTCCTATATTTTGTGCCAAATGTTGTGCTAATTCTTCTAGCATATGTAATATTTCAAGTTTCGTAACTATACTTTTTGCCCTGTATTTGTAACCTCTACCAAACATTTGCCTAAGTTCAACATCTTCTATAATGTTTACACTTCTTGTACATACATGTCCCAGATCTATGTTTATGTAATCTTTGTATTTATTACAGATGCATTCTTTATTAATATTGTTAACAATGTCTTCATTAATGGATTTTAGAAATTCATTACAATTGCATAAGTATAAACCAATAGGTTCTTAATTTGTGTCTAATGCTTATTTTCTGTAACTTCCTGCACTCTGTCCGGAACAGTAGCATTGATGATTTCTTTCATGTCCCTATTATTGCATAGTGATTACGTTTATTGTTTTGTTTTCTTTGTTCATAGTTTCTTTACCAAGCTAGAATGTACCAAGCCAGAAAGATCTGCTGAATTTGCCTACCGGGCTTTTCTGCAGTATAGCTCCATTCAGACGGTGAATTGAGCTGCACAAGGTAGGTCGATTGTTCTGTTCTTGTCCGCGAAATTCCAATGCAGGACTTCCTGCCCGTTCCGCTGAAAGTCTTGTTCAGGGGTCCTCTGTGGACCCGTGGCCTTCTGAAATCAATCCTTTTGTTTATCTTGTTTGATGTGCTCACACCTCATTTCGTAATCGGTGGAGAACATGAGCAAAAGTGCTTTTTCACAGGAAAAAGGCGCAAATGTCGAAAATGCTCCTTTTCGGCTTTTTCGATTTCCATCTGGAAAGCTGAGGAAACGAAGTAGACGAGCTTTTCATCAGATTCAATAAGTTTACCTAAAAAGGCATGCTCAGGTCTACACAGGGATATGCGCTTCTTCCGCAAATTGACCGCTACCCAGAGATGAAGACGAGAATAAAAACTCTGCGAATTTATGGAACATCCCAATATTTATGACTGCGATGAGCTAAGACAGTAAAAAAAGAGAAGATCTGTAGAAAACATGGAATGAAATCACCGATATCGAATTGTTTGCTATAAAAGCTGCTGAGAGTATGCCTTTGAGCAAAAGTTTATGCGCTGATACTCACACCATAACAAATTGTTCTATTCACAAGGAAAGACACCTAACTTAGATCGGTCTTTTAGGATGAGGCGCATATAGTTGGAATCAGCTTGAAACGCTGATTTTGAATCTGCTTTTCTTAGATGTGAAGCATCACTCTGAAAAAAGTTATGTGCTTCTTCCTGAGCAGAGTTTGCGTGCTAAGCGACTCAGGCATGCTACGGTATCATCATTTAGGTAGTGATTCAAATACATACTATACCCTGTCGGGACCAAATGACTCCATTTAATGTTATTTCATTTTTCGCCACTTTTTAGGCTGATTTTCATTTGAAAGGCCTTCTTTCTATATTCAGTTATTTGTCAATGACACATACTAAAAAGCCAGTAACTCGCTGCAGGGGAACGCTTCGCAGCTAAGGGCAGCATAATTGGAATCAGCTTTCCGAGCGGATAAATATATGTGTTTCATTCCAAAAGGCCGACCTAAGCTAAGTGACTTTCCCTTGTCAGAAACAATTGCGGGATGTAGAAAAGCGTTATACACCGTACTAAAAATTTCAACGTTGTGTAGATATTATGTGCTGAACGCACGAAGTACGAATGAGTATCGCGTGTTTGATAAGTGATTGGTAATTGTATATGATTCTTCCATGCACACTTCGGAAATGTACACATTGAATCTGGAAAAATTTATAGAAGCACTGTAAGCGTTGACGACGCGCATGACGATGCGTCGTGAGCGGATGTGTTGCGAGTAGAAATGCTTATTTTCCACAGAATTAGCTATCAAATAGGTGGGCTATTCAATAGATGGAAACGATAAATAACCAGTCGACAATTTTGTTTGCAATCAAGCTATCTGGAATGTGGAGAAGGAGATTGAGTGGAGGGATGATGAAACCATGGCCAGTAGTAAAGCTCGATCAGTCCAGGTGAACTGAACTTAACCCATCAGTTGAGCTCACGTCAGATGAAATGATGACCGCCCAACTTTCCATGCTGTAAGCATGGCAAGTAAGTTAACGGTTGGGCATCCGTTCACCTGCTGCAGCCAACCTGTTGTACATCAGTTCACGTATAGTTTAGGTGAACGTAAACTGATGTTAGACGAATGCAAATCGTGTGGAAAAGAGGAAACGCAGGGAAGACTTACGTAAGTTGCCTCTGAGTAACTTACGATACACATCAGTTTGCCTAATACTGCGAACAAAATCGGCGCAAAACTGCACAATACCGGGGCCCGAAAAGGAGAGAATCGATGACTAGCTGGTTTTGACGTGGAAAGGAAGAGAACAAACTTTTTTCTTTTTTGTAAAGTTTGCTGACTCTTTTTCGAAAAGCTGTTCAAGACAAAAATTTATTGATTCAATTCATCGCGTTTATGTTGCAACCATTTCATTTTTTCAGTAAATTTTCGTCAAAAACCGTGTCTTTAACATACTCATGCATGTGCTAGGCGAATTCTTTGATAGCGGTCGTCATCGATTTTGCGATAGTGGTCGCTACCAAAGGCGCGATACAGCAAAAGTGCGGCGCTAGCCGATGTTGAACCGTGGCCGCCCGCTTTCGACTCCAATCGCTTACCTTTTCGACCAAACTGGCTCAAGTGATTCCTTTTTTAAGAACACACATGGTTATCATGATTAGAAAGCGATCCGCATCGGATCAATAGCTCACTGGATGCTGGGTTGAGGCGTCTTACGTTCGACGTAAGCTCGCACCAGTCACGTTGCACTGACGGGGTGTTTACTACCTGTCTATATATGCTTTTATGAGTTGCTGGCGTTAGATCTAGACATATGGCGCTCTGAAGCCCGTAATTTCCGGATTGAGAAGTGCTCGAGGATTCCAAAACTTCATTGTATCTAATGCGTGTTGAAAACAATTCTGCCGCTTCTAGACAACAACAAGTACAGGCTCCGTAAAACCCAATTGCCCGCGCGTCGCTTTGAACACCAACGCGCGGCGCGGCTGGAAACGTTTGGTCCCGAAGCGCTACAGGCTTTTTTCGAGCGACAATGAGCGCGCGTCCTTTCTACACATATTTTTTTAAACTTTTGAGGGGGGCTTTCGTCGAGATGTACCTTGCATTGACGATAACAACATGAAAGTCAAAGAAACACTTTTTGAAATATAGTGAACGCCGACAGTCGTTCGCGACGACCGCTCGCTTACGCTGATGTTCAAGGCACGGCGCGGGCAATTAGGTTTTACGGCGCCTATACGTGCCTATCCCTGGGGCAATATGTATCAATCTCCTGGTTTGAATGATTCCATACAGGAAATGTTACTCGGCTGTAAAGGGGAGCTCGACCCGTGAAGTGTGAAACTCGCGGGTGCCCAACGCGCGGGTGCCCAACGCGCAGGGAACAGCACCCCACCTCGCGAAATCGGGTTCTGAATGCCCGCTGTCAGGGTTGCGCCTCATTCTGCGTTCGCAGTGTCCTTTATTGCTGTTTCACCTCACGAGGACCACTGCGCTACCAGACACTCTCTAGAGCAGATTTTTGGGAAAATTTGTGAATCTTTTTTGAAAAATTTTCGGCTTATGCCCTCTCTCCTTACTGAAGCGTTCCGGGGGGGGGGGGGGAGGGCTCATTTCGTTTTCCTCTTTCTCCTCTAAGGGAAGGAACGAAACGGAGAGCGGCTTTGGCGTTTTGTTATATGATACTACATTTTGTGTTTTCATGATCACTTCTGCCCTTATGCTGTTACGCATCAGGACATCGATTTTTTTTTCATTGGACATTCTGTAGCTGTGCACGCTTGAAATTGATGGTATGTTTAGAAATCGTTTGCAAGACACTTGCGCAGACGTATTCTAACCCAAATTTCGTTCTTGTGCGGCTCGCTGGAATCCGCGAAATAGTGCTACTAGCTGAATTTGTTCAAGCGTAAGTTCTCTATTCAGCCTCCAATTTAGTACTGCGAAGAAAAACAGAGAAAACAAAAAGCACAGCACACATACAATGACAGATGCTACAGCGAAGGGATTACTTAACGCAAATGAAGAAGTAAAACAAGGGCATCATGAAAATTCAAACAAGATTCCCAAAAAGTAAGAAATGAGTTTTCAGGCAGCGTCCGGGCAGGTTTGACTGTTACAAAAACATGCTTTGCTACAGCTCCTAGCCTGAAAAAGCTCTGGCCCAATTAGCATTGCTTCGATCTGGTTCTGAAGCGAGAAATCCGCTTCAGAAATGGCGACTTAGATGCCCTGGCGACCTGCCCCCTCTCCCCCCCCCTAATCAATAGCAAGAGTGCATATATTGCACACATTCAAGGCGTAGCCTACCACGACTCGACCTTGCGTCTTGACCTCGCCGGCAAGCGTCCGAATTTAACAATGGGGGCTTCCGATATCCCTTTTCAACATTTTCGTACTCTGCAAGCTGCATTTTTGGATTCAGCGAGAAGGGTAAGCGCAGGTAAGCGAAAAAAATTTTGCTCGAAATTTTGCCCGCCCGCTGCCTTCAACGTACATATCCGGTCCAGAAATAAAAAAAAATGCAATAGTCGCTAATTGAACCTTGTTTAAACGCAAAAATGTTTAATAAAATATTTGACTTAGTCCCGCTAGAGAGATAGGTAAGGAAACATGCGCGAATTAAGCCTAACGCGGAAGAAATGCAAAGAAATGGGTGAACGGCTTCATTTCGAGAACGCGTCAGCAAGCGTGCTATGTTGATTTTAGCATGCAACACCCGAGTGAGGAGAGCTAAACTTGGTAATTTTCAAACTAGGGCCTACAGAAGAATGAAAATCTACAGTTATACTCCTACGGGCTTGTAGTATACAATTACATGAAAAAAACAGCATAACTTCGTTTTTGCACGAACATGAAAATTTTCGCTTCTTTAAGTTCTAAATGTGGAAAATTCCAGGAACGGTACATGTAAGTGTCTGATGTAGCGTGCAATTTTCATGAGCAAGTTGGAGATTTGTAGAATTTTTTGAACAAAAATTGAATTTTTCGCGATTCAAGCCTTTAGTACGACTTACATTGGATGCAAACTCACAATGGGTTCACAAACTTTTGTACACCGTCGTGTGGAGCTTGCTTTGCTCCATCAAGTGGTGCCCTGGACCCCTATTGAAAACGTGAATTGTATGTGACATAGTAACAACTGATACTGTCTGACTTATGTTACAATCTAATACATTGAGCAGCATAATTGGCGGTATTGGAACTGATCAGTGCAATCGTTTAGTTGCTTTCGGTCCGCAATCTATCGTGTTATGATGATCAGTGTAGAAAACTTCTGCAATTGTCCTGATTTTGTAAGTGCATGTGAAAACCAGGTTCGCTCCTTGAAGGCGTAGATCTCGCATTTTGTGGGTATGGTGACCGTAGCAGTTTTCCATCCAGTTTCAGTATAAGGAAATTTCTGCGACGGAGGTGTGGTTGAACCGTCACTGAGTTCTCGTCGACTTCCAGAGAAAACTCTGAGTTGTGCAGGGGTAGCCTAGCATCCAAGGAGTCCATCCTTTCTGTGATGTTGACATTGACACAGTTGCAAACAGCGGCTGTGGATCTTGAGGAGCACTTGCAGATATCCATGA